GGATCGAGACGGATGGTCACGGGATAGATTCACGTTGCGGAACATTCTCCTGTAGTTTTCAATAGATATACAGAAGCTGCCACGTCCTGTACTCTTGCAGCACGCAGGTTGGTCCGTCAAGGTACCAGATCATGGAATGGAGTCCCAATTAGGCAGAAAAACACTCGGAATAATACATGCCGAATATGGAAGGTGTGGCGAAAAAAAGATTTCAAAAGCGGCGGCAGCATCAGTCAATTTCTGGGTATCGCATTTTTGTTTAATTCCAACTAAACAAGACGAGAGATTTCGTCAAATCCCTCAACACAGCATATCGATCCCTGAAGAAATCGACTCAATATGGCTGAAAGTATCGACAGAAATGCGGATGGTACGTGTCAAGCGATTTTCCCGCCTCCGATCTATACTCACGCGAAACACAGAACGCATGGAGTTTTCGACGTCCAAAGAAGTGACGGTCGCTCCCACCTTTGAGGACATGCACCTCAAGGAAAACCTCCTTCGCGGAATCTATGCCTACGGATACGAGTCACCCTCCGCCGTGCAATCACGAGCCATTGTCCAAATCTGCAAAGGAAGAGATACTATCGCGCAGGCGCAATCAGGTACCGGCAAAACTGCGACATTCTCAATCAGTATTCTACAAGTCCTGGAAACGGCAGTGCGCGAGACACAAGGTACGTAACTGCGCACTACTCATGTGTTGCCACGCTGATTTTGAGAAGCATTGGTGTTGTCCCCTACTCGAGAGCTGGCCACCCAGATCCAAAGCGTCGTCATGGCTTTGGGAGATTACATGAACGTCCAGTGTCACGCATGTATCGGAGGAACGAACGTTGGCGAAGATATCAGAAAGCTCGACTACGGCCAACATGTCGTATCTGGCACACCTGGTAGAGTTGCAGACATGATTCGACGAAGACATCTCCGAACCAGACACATCAAAATGCTCGTTCTCGACGAAGCAGACGAACTTCTCAACAGAGGCTTCAGAGAGCAGATCTATGACGTCTACCGGTATCTGCCACCCGCAACACAAGTCGTCGTTGTTTCTGCCACACTCCCGTACGATGTTCTCGACATGACCACAAAGTTCATGACGGATCCTGTCAGAATTCTCGTCAAGCGTGACGAACTCACCCTCGAAGGTCTCAAACAGTACTTCATTGCGGTTGAGAAAGAGGAGTGGAAGTTTGATACCCTCTGCGATCTCTATGATACTTTGACAATTACACAGGCTGTGATTTTCTGCAACACTCGACGCAAGGTTGATTGGCTGACGGATAAGATGCGAGAGGCCAACTTTACCGTCAGTAGTATGCACGGAGAAATGCCACAAAAGGAACGAGACAGTATCATGTCCGATTTCAGACAAGGCAACAGTCGAGTATTGATTAGTACTGACGTCTGGGCTCGCGGCATCGATGTTCAACAAGTCAGTCTCGTCATCAACTACGACCTTCCCAGCAACCGAGAGAACTACATTCACAGAATTGGTCGCAGTGGTCGTTTTGGTCGTAAGGGCGTCGCCATCAATTTCGTCACCAGCGAAGATGTACGTATCCTACGAGACATTGAGCTCTACTACTCGACTCAAATCGACGAGATGCCGATGAACGTTGCCGATCTCTTGACCTGATCGCAGCATCTGGCTCAAAAAACAAGACATTGTGTAATATTGATTTGCTCTGTGCCGATGGAAAACCTGGAATATGGGACGCCTTGATTGTTCCCGAGCCCTCGACTCAACTCTGACTTGATACACTCGATCCCATTCTGGAGTCCTCGTCAAGTCAAAGGGGTTCCGATAGGCTCGTCTCCACCGCCGAGTTTCGCGTTGGTTTCGTGGACTTGAGAATACCTCGATATCAGCTAGCCAGGGCTTCAAGCGAGCTTTATCATGGGACCTTGAAATTGCACTTGCTTTGCACGCGTTTCAAATTAGTGCTTGGAATATTGAGGATGGAAATGGGGCTGTAAGCCAAAAGGTTGGTCCAACTGTCTTGTGACGTTTCTGAAGCTTTCACTGACGCCGTTTAGAATGATTATCACTGATTTACGAATCCCTCCTTGCGTTTCATTTGAGAACTTTTTGTCCTACTCAACAGTAATTTCTTTCCAGTTTATTACGCCAGAGTAGCATCTTCCAATCGGTCTCACACCCGAGAACACAATATCGAACAACACTCATCTCTCAAGAATCCACTGGGAAACGCCTCCTCAATCACACAATCACGAGATCCAAAAAGAATTGGTTTCTAGGGAGGTGTTCTGAGCGTCCACCTATCCTTCCGATTTTCTCGCACGCGCCAATACGTCTTGAAGTATCCTTTGATGCCAATCCTGTCCGTCGTCGGTCGGGTACACTATCCTTACTGCTTTCAATCACAGTTCTTGTCGCCAAGCAGCGTCCTTGAAACACCCACGCTCTGGCAAACAACGGCATGGTGCTGAACGTGGCGAGTTTCGGCAAAGTCACGATGCGAGATTTGCTTCTTGACATACACAGTGTGGTTTTTGCCTCCGGCGTCTGGCAGGCTGGCTTTGTGGCTTGTTGATCGTTCGGAAGAAGCAACCGTCGTCGCCAGTATGGGATCTCGTGGCAGCTATCACGACATGAGCGTTCTGGTAATTGAGGGCCATTCTGCTCGATTCGAGTATGCAGTCCTCCATGTCGTCTTGGACGATGCACATTGCATCTATCCAGATATATCCCAATCCCAGACGCCTGGTGGTTATGATGGCGTCTTCAAACGCCTTTGTCAGCTCTTGCCACGGAATGCCATCCTTTCTGCTGTGTATGTTGTCACTGTTTGTCTTTGGGACGGGCTTTTTGCTCGACTCTCTGGATTCCCACGCATGACTCAATGCTGCGGATCTTGTGGTTGCTATTTCGTGTGTCAGGCATAGTTCTCGGGTCGTCGCCGTCTTTGCCGACACAAGCCAGCCTCGCTGGCATTTCGTTCGGTGTTTGGGGCATGTGGCACAGGTCATGCTGAGACTCGCATTTGTCTATCTAGGTTGGGATCGTTGCAAAGGATGATTCCGAGTCTGACCTTTTCGGTACGTGTCCTGCAGGCCGAGATCCGGGGAACGCTGGAGGGATTTGTTCGTCTGGACACAGCCGGTAAGCCAAATTCGTCAGATTGGTGACCGTCGAGCTGTGGTTTTGTCAGAGCCTGCTAGATAGACACTCACCTGAATGAGAGTAGAGTTCCAACTCGAAGCGTCTCGTAGCGTTCATCATCCTTGACCCGGCGCGTGATGACGACTTGCAAGGGGTCGACGGCCTTCTGTGGCTACGTGCTGACCTTGATCCCCCCCTCGGGCCATGTTGTTGTTCGGTCGTCGTCGTCGTCTTCTTCTTCTTCCTCGCCCTTCCAAAAGTACTCGAACTTGTCGATCCCGCCGACGACGAGCTTACATCGTAGGCACCCCCTCCGCCGCGGTCTCGCGAAAGGCAGGCAGCCAGGTTCGGTGACGTCGGCGCGTAGGAGTGTTAGGGGTCCTGAAAGTCTCGTCGGGAGTGGCATACTCGTACATTTGGGTCTGATGGTTTGTCCCCGTTACTGGATGCGGTGGTTCCCGGTGCCAACGCCATGGTGAGATTCAAGCGCTTTTGGATCTCGGAGGAGGGCTCTTCTGCTACGGGACGAGGACCGCGGTCCTCCGTCTGGTTCTAGGTCTGTCGAGTCTGTACAGAGTGTTCCAATCCAACAAAAAAAAAGACACATGGTGGTTTGCTGGCAAGGCTGAGAGCGAACGGTGACCTTTTTGCAAAAGGACAAAAGTCCCCCCATGTAATGTACCTCGTCAGCCATAGTGACCTCTTTCCCCCTTGCTCATGACTCTGGCCGCGCTGTCTTTGGATTGGGAATCAGTCAGACACTCGGGCTATGAACCACCACAATTACAGAGCTTGAAATGGGGCGTAGAGTAACGTTGTTTCAATTGTGGTAGGGAGGGTGAGCTCCAATATCATCATTATCATACATTCCCTGTCTGGTGTACTTCTTTTCTCATCGCATTGCGATTGCTCCATGCCATTGAAGGCCCCTCCGACGACAAGATATGATCTCCCGGCGCGGTTGTTGAAGAGGACGTACGCCTCTACTTTTCCCCCGTTGGCCTCTGACTCTGCCTCTGTCTTGCCGTCTTGGTTTTGGAACCGACGCTCCCACCCTGTCCAAAATTTTCCACTCTCACCATTGGCATTTCCCTGTGGCCGACTTGTCTTGTCACTTCTTGACTGCACTTGCTGCCTTTTTCTTGGGGGGAGTTTCCCGGCAGTGGTAGGGAGGTAGAGGAGGGAGAGCAAGAGGCAGAGGCTTGTGGATTTCCAACTCCTATGCCTGCGATCGAGTCACGTCCACTTTCCCAGTGTAGGGTCGTCCACGTCGAGCATGCTTCGGATGGGAGGACGTGGGAGGAGTGTTTGCGGTTCGAGCGTGGGTAATAACTCTAGGTACAAGGGTGACTGGGATCTTTCGGAGCGATCGATGGCGGCGAGGAGCTCGCTGTGGTTTCCCCGTCGATAAAGAAACCTCTCAAGGCCCATGGGCGCGCCCGTGATCTAGAAGGCGGTCCGGTCTGATCCATGACTGCGGTTAGTGACGAGGCGAGAACCACTTGCCATCGGGGGCAGACGAGGCCCAAAAATTGATTGACAATCTCACGACACAATGGACGACGTTGGGCCAGAAGTCCACCAGAAGCACCGGCGGTCCTCCCAGAGGAGAAAGGAATGTTTTTGGCATCCTCCCCGAGGTTCGTTCGTCGGTGCGGTGGCTCGGAGGGGATGCATTTTTGGTCCTCCCATTGATGGAGGAAGGAACCGCAGAGATTCAACGCCCCCCAATTTGTTCGTCCAGAGTTGTGATAATATCTTGGCGCTCACACACGTGCGATCTCACCAGGCCGTTGCCACTTTCAAAAGCAATCGCCCTCCTCCTCGCCCAAACAAAAAGAAACAAAAAAAACAAGAAAAGAGGAAAAAAATGGGCGCAATCCAGGGATCGAACCTGGGACCTCTCGCATTTTCTTAGACTTAGAGTTGTCCCTACTGTTTAATGTTAGTACGAATGAAGGGATGAATTGAAAGGCTTTGTTACATACAGCGAGAATCATACCACTAGACCAATTGCGCTGTCGAAGGTCTGTGAATCACCACTGGGAAATAATGGCAACCGTGAACCTGTCGCATTTGTTGTGTGAAAATTTGAATGTATAATCCATAGGCTGCAATATCCGCTACCAATGAAACAGTAAAGTGTGGAAATGGGGCAGACACGCTAACCACCTAAGCGTCGAATGTTGCCTTGTATGCGTGATAAAGAGAACGCGTTCAGATGTACCATGTTTAACATGTAGATACACGGCCTCTGTCAAGGGTCAACTATCCCTCAGGCCCCTATGCACGAGCATCTCAGACGTTTAGGAGTCCATGTTTTACTCAATCATAGGTCTAAATAATGGTATACAGAGATTGACTGACTTTCATTGAGACTTTGAGGCTGATTTGACGCCGACGAAACCTCAATATTCTTTCATCGATCCCCTCATATCATCCACATCGAAATCCAGCAGTAGCAGAACATCGAGCCGAAGTCAATGCCCAATGAAACGGAAGGCCAGCTCTGATACCATGTACCCGCAAATGACATCCAAAAGGACATTTACAGATCAGGATCGGGATTTGGTGCGGAGGGCCCGATTTGGACCTTCGCGAGCCGTTCCATGAGTTTGAATAACGTGTAAACTTTTCCATCTCCTCCTTCCCTCTTGACCGTGCCAGCTTCTCACCGTACGACAGAGGCGCAAGATCCAGAACGAAGTTGACCGCTTCAGATTCAAGGAGGGCTTTCTTATGACAGCTTCATGAAGAGAATTGAAGTGGACCGATGGTACCATGACGTCGAAATGAAAACCGAGAGAAACTCTAGGCTCAGTACCTGCTGTATGTCGAACTTCCCGTGAGAGTTTGGTGGGACCAGTCACTTTTTGCGGAATGAAGAATCTGCATGTGGCTCTTGTTTATCAGCGACAGAGGTGTAATTGGCACTCTCAAGTGAGATGCTGTTCTTGAGTATACCAATTCTCAGGGTCGTGATCGAAGACCCGGCGCGGTGGGATGATTACACCGGTCCTCGTACCCAGAGTGTCTGGATTTAGACCTTGTAGCTGTGGAAGGACATGGTATCGAACATAGTCGTCGAGATAGGAGACTGATTGAAGCTGCCGCGGGAGCAGATCGAATTGGACACCGTCGATGAGTTCAGTGGTCAACGAGAGGCAGCCATCGAGGTTTTCGAGTCGAATTGGCTTCGGGACAGGAATGGTCGTCCTCGCAGCAACGAATTCCAAGGATACGAATTCATTCATTAAACATTCGCCGACCGCCAGGGTGATTGCACGATACCGTTGATGTCTTTCCAGGAACGTATCTCCGTCTTGGTGAACGTGTTGGAGCTAGAATCAAACCGATACCTTCGTTCTTGAGAATGTTCCTCCCAGAGTATTTCAGCCGCCACGAGAGTTGAGGTGCATGAAAGCAAAGATAGAAGCAATTGCACAGACACCGAGAGCCATTCGCGACTAAAGTCAACCTCGAGTTCGAAAGGGAGCAGAAGCGTAGAGCTGGAAGGGTGATTCTCGATTGTTGAAGAACCGCTCAAGGGATACAGTAGCGTTCGACGTTCAAGACTTGGCAGGGGGATTCCTGGTGGTGGTACGGAGTACGAGATGTCGCAATGGTTAGATCTCCTTCTGCTGTTGGGCCCTGCATTATCGTAAAGGAGACATCACACAGATTTTAGGGGGATAGCGCCAGAACGAAACTGAGGTAGCCACGACTACCAACCAAGTCCTGCTCTGTAGCCGTCGACTCAAGGGAGGGGGCGTTTTGGTCCTGCAGCAGAACCACAAGTCGCTCTTAGGCGGCCACGCTCTTTGGTGACATTCTCGTAGAAGAATCATATGACTTCCTTGTCGCTACTTGACCTTCTTCAGGCAGCCCTGAAAGAAGATACTCGTGCGAATACCAAAAATAGAAAAGAAAGGGACAGTGCATTCTGTGCGCATGCTGAGATGACAAGCCGATTTCGGGGCATAAGCTGATATCCTGACCAACGTCGATCTCGAGCCGGATCTGATGCGCCGGCCCTTGTCGGCCCTGGTGTTACGCTGACTAGACATCTCAAACGAAGCGAATGACACCGTCCTTACGCTCGCGCGTGACCATACCTTGTCTGCAAGGGGTGCATAATGTCCTCGTAGGGCTGGGTGTAGACACGAAATCAATATGATTCCAGGGGCACTCTCTCGGGAGGGCTTCCTCTCTTGGTAGCAGACTCATATCTGCATCTGGGCATTCGGAGGTGCACCGAAAGCTCGCTAGGAGAAAATAATCAGCACTAAGGCTATGGTCGACAGGGGGAAGGTCCGAAATGCGGCCCTGGCCTTTTGATGCCCGTCTGGCACGGGATGAAGCGAGGTCGTTACTCTGTGGTTCCGATGACAACAATGGTAAGCCGCCACACTAATGATGAGGTATGATGATGAGCATAACAGCAAGGGCTCGGGCCTCGTCAGTAATTAGTTCCCGTCGTATAGTTCACCTACACTGCGTATGAGAGAGGTCCTGGAGTGTCGTGTAGTGATAAGTGGTGATGATGGCGGCTGACTCATATGGCATTGTGTATCGCTTCGGGTCAGATGACCACCCTCACGCGGAATGGATAGACTTGCCTTCGTTCCTCAGTGCGTCTCTGAAAAAAGGGGACGAACGCGGTGTACAGAGTACACAGTTCCCTTCAGGGAGGTGTCGACCATGTAGGTCGACGCAGTTGGCAAAAACTCCATCCAATGATATCTGCATTATCTTCCCGACATTACCTCTCTGAACTTCACACCTACCTCCTGATGATCTGAGACTTGACATATGTAAGCATGTCAGGCAAGACTGACGGGTACCGTTTGAAGCTTAGCATGAATGGTCGCTTGAAGCAGTTATGCTTAGTGCGCAATCATCCGTTGTGGTCAGGAGGACGAGCGCGTAGCACAAGCCTCTTACAGTAGGCTTCAGAAACGAGCCAGCTCGTAGATTGCTGTACATATGCATGGTCCCCTCCAATTTCAGTGCTCGCCGCTAAATGTATCGCACCGATAACCATCGCCCGCATCTGGTGTGGTCGCTGACGGATTAAAAAAACGCCGTTCGTCGATCCGTGCTAGGAGACTGTCAATAGCGTGGGGTTTGTCGCAATTCGACCAAGTAGTTTGGCCCTCTTGGCACAAATGATCAAAGGGTCAACTCAGACTTCAAAGGCACCTACAGTAGATGTGGCTTGAGACGCTCCGGATAGTGCGGCAGCAGACATGCCAATTGGTGTGCAAGACATGGAATCTGGCTGCTCCGCCCAAGCACCCTGTGCGATAGGGTGTGACTGTGGCTTCTAGTGCACAGGCAGTGGTTTGCACCACGATCGACAACTGGCAGCGGGATTAGCTTGATAGGCATTGAGCCACGAGTAGATCAATAATGGGGGCATCGGTCCATTTGTGAGTGCCGTCCAGGAAGGGTTGATAATATGAGGATCTGGTACTGGCTACCTGTGATAATGATCCTCTTCCATTTGTGAAGCGAACAGCGCTATAAGTTCTTGTTAGGCATAACAATAGTCTGGGGTTGGCTGCAGATTAGCTCGAAGGAAAGCATGGGCGGGGTAGAAATTGCTGTCGCTCACAAGAGTCGAGGCTATAGGATGTCGGACCTTGTTCGGGTAGTACAATGACGGCGCGGGTTGGATAGGTCATGTTAGAACGATTAAGTATTGTTGCTTGTAGAGCTAAGGCAAAATAATGCATTGTTTGATTTGTAGTCCGGACATTCAGGGTGCCCGAGCTTCTCGCACTGCGATCGACGACGTTGGCGAAATTGTTGGCTTGAGCCAGCGGCGAGCATTTGTTAATGAGGTGTACACTCCGTGCCAAAGCAATCATTGTCAGGCTTGCTCCAGTTGTTGGAGCATCCTGAATCAAGTGGCGAGATACTGTAGTTCACTCTAGTGGTGGAGCTGTGACCCGTGCTGCGCGACGAACGGCTGAGTCCGTCATCGAGCCGAAGCGTTACTTCGATTTCATGGCTCCAGCAGGCCTGTTCAGCAGCAGTTGAATGGCCACAGGGTAATTGGATGGCGATATGAACCACTGGTACTTCGTACGAGGAAAGCAAAAGCAGTTTGCCGCCCGACTGATCCGAGTCCCTTGTGTGTCTGAACACTTCTCTGTCGCACAACCACATCAAGGAGCAGCTGAGTGGAAAGCATCGTACCCCGCTGCAAAATAGCGCAAGGAACTCGGACACTACTGCACCAAAACATGAGGAGCCCGGACGGCCCCTCCCTAATGCCCTCTGGTATCACCCTAAGGGCGATCAGCACGAAGTCAAGGTAAGTGATCTTGACCAGGTTGGGCATGACCCGGCAGCAATCGACATCTTGACTGGATGGTGCGTGTGCTGCCATGGAGAAGTGCGATAGAGAAGCAAAGTCGTACACTGACGTCGTCCGCAAAGAAGCCCACTCGAGACTGTCACATTCCAGAACGAAGTCTACGACCCATGGACAACTGCCGTGTCGCTTGATGATGTTTTCGTGCAGAGGACGAGTATGGTGACCACGAAAATGATCAGTCTTTGTCGCGTTCTTCCCGATGTCATTGCGCAGATTGACAGGTGTGAAAAGTGCCTCACCACGGAGAAAAATCTGTCAATGCATTGCAGGTGGCCAATCCTGCCGCAGGCCACTTGTGGTGTGATTGAGCCATTCACAGAAGCCTGGCATCCCACGCACCTCGAACTCAGATCAGCGAAGCTTGGGGACCATGTGCATGAGGTGCTGCACACCCTGGAACGAAAATTTGATGGTGTGGGAAGATAGTGGCTTGGTTGGCGAATCAAGGCTCAGACCAGGAAGCCTTGACAGGTGTAGCCCCAAACAAAAGAACGAGAGGCGTCTTGTTGGACGCTGTCTGGACTCTGCCACTCTTCCACATGGCCAGGAAATAGGTCACTGATAATAATTCGTACTCGCGCTCGCGCCGATTATTGCTTGAGAGACTTTCCGATGGCGGCTCGCACAAAAGGTG